TCCAGGGTACAGTTCAACTATTAAAAGTTAAATTATATAACGCAGCTTTGGATTATTTCAAATTCTCAATACGTAACACTACTAATTAAGTATCTTTTATTACAACTTACGGCGTAATTGAAAACAGTTTGCTCTAACATATAAAAAGAATTTGGATATATGTTATTGCGTAGCATTTCAGTTTCAGAGATGATCCAAAATTGTTTGGGCCATAACTTTGCAAACAACATTTTTTTTTTTACAGAGCAGTGAAAAATGCGCCGATTCATTTATACATTTTATCACTTTTATCACTGACAACTGCCCATAAAGGATTCCCTGAGCAGAAGTGTGAATGTAAATGTACTGAATATTTCCATTCTTTCCTTGAACAGTAGTTAAAACCACACTCTCCTGGACATTTGTAGATGTCTTTTGTGTCCAAAATTGTGCCACAAGCAGAACAGACAGCTTCAGAAGTCGAATACATTATCTCTAATTTAAGTGATCTTCCAAGAAGATCTAGTAGGTCCTTTAGTTTAGCTATATAATTCAATGGATTGTACGTTAAAGTGTTACAAATATTGGATTAAATGTCTTGTCTAACAAAGAAATAATTTTTCGTTCTTGCTCCAAAGTCTAATCTTCACTCCAATTCTCTTTTTCCAAAACATTAAAGACTTTTTTTTTCATTTACTTGAAAAGATAAAAAGAAATTCAAGAAGTCATAAAGCCTTTTAAACAACTTCTCAGAATATGGATGTATATGTATTAAAATATGATAAGTGTCATTGAGAAAAAAAACTATAATCCATTGATTTGTTTTGAGAAGTTGCATAAATTTCTCTAAATCCATTAAAAGTAAACAACCATATATGGCTTCAGTCTGTAATTGTTCAGCTTGTAAGTTGTCCATCTCCTTGTAGTCTGATGTTTTTTCATCAGCAATGATGTCCAAACAATCATCCAATTTAAGGTTAACAAACATTTTATTTGCTTCATTCACAGCTTCTGTAAATTCTTTTATGTGCTCTACTTGTGATACTATGTTAAAATGTTTAAGTCTTGGCAACTGTTCCTTTAGTTGTGTAGCTGACTGGAAACAGGCTGGTTCCACATTAACAGGGGTTTCCTGTATGAGGGAGCTAAAAGACCATTGGTTTGTTGAGCTTGTTTATTTACTTTTTGCATTTTCACTTCAAGCTATATTGTTTCTGTATTTTTACGATTCTTATTACCTTTTTAAATTAACAACTTTTAGTAATGTTGTTTCTTTATATATATATATATATATATATACAAAG